CTATATATAGAACTCTATGTTAAATAAATGTTAAGAAAAAAAAAAAACACTGGCTAGGTGGCGCAAGTCGCCGGCTTATTCAAAGGGTTCAGCATCATCCATCTATCCATCCATCCATCCATTCGTCGTAAGAAGTTTTAAGGCGCACAGTCGTGAACAACGGGACGTGCGTGAATCAGCCTTCGGAAAGATCAAACTGTTCGCCCAGGGTTTCACTATTTATTCCAAGTGGCTCGTGTTTTGAAATATTCATGTATTAATGCAATTAAAGTTTGTCCTCGACCATTTCAAGCACAACTAAGGTTGCTTATCGCTAGCATTTACAACAACAAAATATTTCCCATCCTTAAAAAAAAAATACAATCTTGGTTAATGACTACTGTTAAGAGTTTTTTTTTTTTTTAGGTTAATTGTAAATACTATACGGGATCATCAAATTTAGAAGGTATTTTTCATGAAAATAACTTTCTAGGCTCTGGTGCATCGGAACGAATAATGGATCGGTCTTATCAAAGAACCCACTGAGATAAGAGGACGTATTTGAGAACCGATATAAATATCATTGGCAATCAAGTAAACTTAAATAAAGTAAAATAATCTTGACTTTGTTTAAGAATGATAAATTTAATTTACTTTGTTGTCTGAATTGAAGTTGAAAACTTTATATATATATATATAGTGGTGCATGCTATTAGCGGGGAGACTCGGAAAGCGTGCTGGGCATGGTGGAATTCGGCAGAATATTTCCGGGAGGACTGACCTCACTTGCTTATTTTTTTTCTTCTTTTTTTTTTCAACAAATTTGATTTTGTGGAATTACTGAGGATATTATTAAAGTTGTTAAGGGGCATTAACTCATTCGTACGAAGTGATGTATATTATAAATATAATAAACGTGCAGTCAGGCAAAAAAAAAATCGAAGTTGTTTTGATAGAGATTATGAAAAAACAAATGCAATGAGAATATTCTGCTTGTTTGCTATGCTTGGGAGAAGAGCGTGTTGGTTCAAGTCATGGATGATGAAAGAATAAAACAATTAAAACAGGGACAACACAACCACATCTTTCAACTAGCAGCAGACGAGTAAACTTTCAAACAGCCAGCAGCCGACTACACCCAGGAGAATATTCTCTTGCATGTTTTCATGCATCTCAAAACCTCGCGTACTTATTTTTAATGTTAGGACTTTTTGTTTTTTAGCTATTAACACGAAATCTTATGACCCAGTGTTTCAGAAAGACGATTTGACATTCTCTAATGATAGAGTGTTTATTAGGGCGTACCTTGTAGATTTACAAATATTGTTTCTCCAGATACCGGTCATTAGAGGTCGGCGCATACTACGTCGACTTTCTTGTCAGGCTCTCCCTGGAGCCCAAATGCCCTCGCACCACCTGTGCGGCATCCTCTCAATGCTGCTGAAGCCACCTTTTGGGAGTTCCTCGGGAGATGCTGCTTCCAGCGTATTAGTGACCACGAAATGATCCGTCCTCGTAGGGATTTTTTCAAGCCACCCATTATGCGATAAGTTCTAGGGGCCCGGCCAGCTCGTACCCGTCGGCGACCAAACGTTTGACTGGTATGTCGTAGGACCAATCGGACGTCGTATAGGACCAGTCATTAATCAATATGGTATGCCTCACATAATAAGAAACAATGGGCGAATTATGATCGTGTATTTTATTTATTTTATTATATCTGTTTGGAAAACGAAACTACTTGCCCGCCTTATTTCTCTAAAGCCTCAAAAAACAGAGATCCAGAGCAGGGTGTTCTGTTTTCACGCAAATTGTGTTGGGTATAAACGCCAAAACACGGCACAATCCCACAACAGTGCTGCAGCCACGTGACACTTCTCTGTCAATACTTTTAGTGCACAATGTTGTTACTGTACCTGGAAAGCACGTGGTTGGGAGAGTACGTAGGAACCACGCCTCCTTTCTCTCTTTCTCTCTCTCTCTGCCCCTATCGATCCCTCCCCTTACCCAGCATTAAATGTATTATTATAATGCAATTAATGCAAAGGTGCAAGCGAGCTGGACAAGAATGACAATAATAATCCCTGGAGAAGGGGAACAAAGGGAACAAGGGACAAACACAAATCTCCAAACACAGTCAGGTGACTCTTGCGCGACCAGTCGCCTAGCTGTGTTTTTCGGTCGCGCACCAGTCACTCGGCTGTGTGTGGAGATTTGTGTTTGTCCCTTGTTCCCTTTGTTCCCCTTCTCCAGGGACTTTTATTGCCAAAATTAATGTTGGCGCCCTTCCAACGCCTCGTAGACGACGAGCCCGCGTCGTGCTGAATTTTCGACGTCCCCTAAAGAGGCAAACGCAAGGCGCGGATTGGACGCCAGGGCTACGTCAGCGATCGGCTGCGATTCGTATCCAATCAGCGAGGAGACGAGTCCTGGTCGAATGCCGACGCACCACCGCTCGTATACATCACGTAAAAGACACGGTGCTCGCCGCAAACATGATGACGACAGGATCATCGGCGGACACGCCTTAAGAAAATGTTTCAGGCATATTTGCCAACATGTCGGCAGACGGTTTGTTTTGCATGCACAGTGTGGACAGCCATACAAGGAGGAAACACGCCTCAGACAGACTGTCTCCCGTACGATGTGTGAGTAGTGTGACAGCCAGCTTTGGATTTTCCAACAACCTAAACCTTCTGGGTAGTATATGGAAGGCGTTGCGTACGGCATATATAGCCTCGATACATATTCCCAAACATCAATAGCTTTGAATATTAGTATATGATATATAGTATATACATATACAACGTAACTGCTTTGCTTTCAAAGAACAACATTGCGTTCATTTCAAAATGCACTGGTAGGCGGTAGTACGCATTGGGCAGTAGGCTGAAGATTGCTTTTATTCAAACCAATTCTGAAAAAAAGAAAAGAAAGAAGTGCTGTTTTTCTTGTTTTGTGACATCAGACAAAGGATGCGTATGGGCTGGGTGACGTGGCGACGCCATTTATTTTTGAAGGATTCAGGGTCGAGCCTCTCCTCCAGTCATTATGATGTAAAAAAAGATATTGGTGAGTGCGCGACCAAAAGCGTCGCTGTGGTCAGCCTTCCAGGATTGGCCAAGAGCTCGCTATCGCGTCTTGAAATAGGATCGATGACGCTCGCATTGACCGAAGTAAGGGTAAAGTCAGAACGTCAGCTTTGGTGGTCTTGGTTTAAAGGGATATTGAATAAAAACATTTAGATATACCTCTCACGTTCAGATATAAGTTAAACATGATCAACAGTATCTGCTAATGACAATTGCACATTTGTATTTTGAACAAATGGCTATGCGTTTCGTTCCAAACGGCCGATTCTACCGTTCTCACGCACATAATCGAACTTGTCATTCGCAGCTGATGGTAAGTAACCTGGATCACAACCAATGAGATAGATCCTAATTGTGACGTCACTGGGAAGAACCATGGGAGGGCACCGCCATTACATCTCGCCGTGAGCCCCTAATGTATAGGGGCTGTAGCACTAGCATATATCCTCACGCGTGCACAAAAAAAATAAAAAAATAAATAGGGTAATTTAAAAAAATTAATTCGTTTTCAACGCTCCAGATCGCAAGTTCCGGGGCAACTGTACCTCCTCACCACGCATTCTCACCTTTTTTGTTCCCAGAAAATTGGACAGACGAGACAAGGAGACCAATCGCTCATTCCCAAAGGTCCCTAATCTCAAAGAGCAGCGCGGTAACGAGAACCGACGCCCGAACCAGCGTTAAAACAACCGGACGAGAAAGAAAGAAAAATGCACCTCCGCCGACGGTTCCGCCCCGGTTAGCCACAAACATTCCCGCCCGAAATCTCCGGTTGACATCTGGACGCGACGCTTGCACGAGGTCGACCAAGTGTCGGAATCGGGTCAAGATTATCATAGGTGTCCATTGTGATGGACATGAGCCTGGGAAGGTCTCCGAGGCCGCGAGGCGCGTCTTCTTTGTTTCCCAATCGCAGCACAAACGCAGGCGACAAAAGGAACCCCCCTTCCTTCCTCCGTATACGTAGAAGCAGCGCGTACCGTCTTCGCGGCGTCGTGGCGGCTTGCGGCGTTTCCGGCCGGTCCACTACTTCCGCCGTGCCACCGCCGACACAATGCCACGGCCTGGTCTCACTGTCTCAGGTCATTAGAAATGCCGCTCTCATCGCGCGGAGAGCTCACTTGGAAGCGTTTTGGCGCTTTGAGCCTGGCCCTGATTGCGTAACGCGCCGGAGGCCTACGCCTTTGGCCTGCGCGGGCCGTTAAGCCTACAGCTCATGCCGTAAAACACCACACGCGCTGGAAGAACAGTTAGCACGTGCTTGGGTCGTCGACGTCTTCACGTAGTTGACCCCTCTCTCCGGGCTGTGATGAATTTCTCACGCTTTAGGCGCGAGGGCTGTTTTGCAAGTCTGTGATGAGACGTTTTGTATATCACCTGGTACACTCGCGGCCCGGAAGCGCTTGTCTAGCGCTGATACAAAGTCGCGGTAGCAAGAAGGGATAGGGTAATGATAATTTTCTCAGCATAAGAGGTATTCAGGTATCGTGAGTTTCTTCGTGGACCGAGGACACGAAAGAAAGTCGAACAGTGTGCAGGCTCGACGACGTCCAAGTCCTCTAACATGTGTAACCATTTCGGACATGTTTTAAGAATAGTTCTAAGATATGGCGCACGTGACAAACCTAATACGTAAGTGAAAATGAAACTTTGATTTGAATCACTCTCAAAAGTTTAATATACTTATATCATTGTAGTATAAGCGCGATGCCTTTGAACCTGTTCAACGGTTCGCAGCATTTGAATAAGTGTATACGTCTAACTCCGCTTGGTCCCCTGTAGAGTACTCACAAACCAGATCCTTCAGTCGAAGGTCGAAACTTCTGGATACTTTTCAATATCAAATTGAAGAGAATGAAATCAGTACTATACTCGAAACTATCTTATTGACAGACGTGTTCTTCTCTCCATAGTGGGCACAGCTTCACCATGAGGCTTTGGTTGAGCATGACGTTATTTGGTGAGTTCCGCGTTCTTTCTTATTTTTTTTTTTATGTCGACTTTTTAGTAGCACAATTATATGCGGTAGAGATATTCAAGAGATTACAAACATTCTTCGTTTTATTACAGCTATCCTGGCAGCACACCTATCGGCTGATATCCAGAGGGTAAATATATAATATCTCTATCTGTTCCCTCGAGGTTGTTTTCTTTTTCTTTCCTTTAATTACCATTGTTCTCACTTTTGCTTTTGTTTCACATAGAATCTCACCATAAGACGATACATTTTAAGACAAATATGTCTTCAGGTTTCAGGGAAGGCACCGAGTAGCAGCAGTAGATTGCTTGTTTACAGAAAAAGAGACTGCCAATTAGTGCCGATATATAGCTGGTTCGCCACACACTGCTTGTGCAATTCATAGGGATAAAGAAGGATCAGATAAAACGTTAAAAGAGAAAGAGGGAGAGAAGACATAAGGAGCAGACGTATGTTGCGCCTAAGTCACTTTTCCTCAGAAACGAACATGCCCGATGTTCCTCTGCAGTGTACTCCCTATGATCTCTAGAGGGTGCCTTTCAGCGTTCCGTGGTAAGCAATTTTGAGAGCCTCGCTTATGCATACGTCCTTTGAATACCGCCCACCGCTGCATAAGTATTGTGTGTCAGATGGTAAAGACCCTCGCTCAAATTACTGAATACTTCTTTATTTAGCTAAGGTAGGGGGAAATCTGTTTAAACAAACCAGACATGAGTGTTCGTTTGTATCACGGAGAAAGAGTGGGATAAATAATTGGTTATAAGGTTCCACGATATAGCTGTACACCAGCGTACAAAGTTCAGTTGGTTTGGATAACTTTTTAAAGAAAGATATACAAAAGGTCCGGGGGAATAGCTTCGGAGAAAACAAAATTAAAAAAAAAAATAGTTCGTGGTGCTAACCCGCAGTAATACTGACGGTTCTCCTTAAATTCCGTTAGCTGGTTTTCTTTTTTAAGTCATAATATTTAATTCTACGTTTACGTCGTTGATGCGCCAATGGCGTCTGACCTACCAGTATGGGCCCACTGAGCTTCCTTATTTAACGTATTTCCGGACCAACCGCACATAAAGGTTTATATCCATTCTTTCTCGAAAATAGAGTTTAGCTCGATGTGCTTTGCTGTTTGAGTTGATTGCGCAAGGTAGAGAAGTTGAACGGCGCCCTCTTCATGGCCTAAAACAGGGCAAGCGACAATCGGGTCGCCGAGGTGGAGCAGGCAGCTACGCCAGGCCGTCCGAGGTCCCCTCCCAGACGGACTTCGACGGCAATCCAGACTACGGTACGGCTCCGGGGGTCAGCTGGGACGACACCGCAGGTCCACCGGCTCCTGACGCAGGAGGAGCAACTCCAGGAGACTACGGACCCTCCGGAGGAGGGGGTGCTGGAGGAGGCTTCGTCTCCGGAGGTGGTGGAGGCGGACCAGGAACAGGAGGCGGAGGCGGGGGCTACGGCCCTGGCGGTGGCGGAGGGACTGGAGGCTCGGGAGGAGGCGGCGGAGGCTTCGGAGGTACCGGAGGCGGCGGCGGAGGCTTCGGAGGCTCGGGGGGTAGCGGTGGCAGCGGAGGAACCGGAGGCGGCGGAGGCTTTGGTGGTACCGGAGGCGGCGGAGGCTTTGGCGGTACCGGAGGTGGCAGCGGAGGAACCGGAGGCGGCGGAGGCTTTGGCGGTACCGGAGGTGGCAGCGGAGGAACCGGAGGCGGCGGAGGCTTTGGTGGTACCGGAGGTGGCAGCGGAGGCTTTGGGGGTACCGGAGGCGGCGGCGGAGGTTTTGGACCCGGAGGTGGTGGAGGCAGCGGCGGATCTGGAGGCGGAGGCTTCGGAGGTTCTGGAGGTAGCGGCGGCAGTGGAGGATTCGGGGGCACTGGTGGATCTGGAGGCGGAGGCTTCGGAGGTTCTGGTGGAGGAAGCGGAGGCTTCGGAGGCTCTGGAGGCTCTGGAGGTGGTGGCAGCGGCGGCACCGGAGGAGGTGGCGGAGGTTTTGGTTCCGGAGGTAGTGGCGGCGGTGGTGGCGGAGGCGGTCATGGAGGAGGTGGTCACGACAGCGGCCAGTATGATCATGGAGACCACGGCGAGTGGAGGTTGGAAGATGCCATTCCGGGGACACCAGAATCAGATTATCCGACCTTCTCGACAATTCCGCAGACCAGCTTCGATTGCAGCGCCCAGGAGTTCCAGGCCGGATACTACGCAGATGTCGAGGCGCGGTGTCAGGTACGCTATAATACGAGAGATATTGTCTTCTAACTCGATTACCAAAGGCAAGTAAACTTTAGGGTTTTATTCTCTTACAATACACTTTGGAGCCAAGAAGAGTGGCTGTTTGGGCTAGTTGGTTGGTCATTTCATAACTTGTGCCTGCGCAGCATAGACGAGGACGAAGGGAGGGCAGGACACCGTCACACTTTATTTTCATCAAGATCAATTTAAACATTTTTGGTTTTATTAAAGCATAATAGCCAGTCACTGTGTACTGTTGTGCAATGGAATAAAATAACCTGAAAACTGACTTGCTTCCTGCAGGTCTTCCACATCTGCCAGGCGGATGGTCGCCGCGATGCTTTCTTGTGCCCTGTCGGAACCATCTTCAACCAGAAGTACTTTGTGTGTGACTGGTGGCAGAACGTCCAATGCGACCAGTCGCCCAGCTACTACAATCTTAACGGCGACCTTTACAAGCCAGGACCTTCCTGGAGCCCTCACGGAGGAGCACCTCCGCAACAGCCAAGCTACGAACAACAGCCAGGTGCTCCCCCACCACCACCGCCGCCGACGTATGACCGTGGACCACCACCGCCACCGCCACCCCCTGCACCGCGCCCGCAACCACCGCCACCCGCTCCACGTCCCCCTCCACCCCCTCCACCCGCTCCACGCCCCCAGCCACCCCCACCCCCACCACCGGCGCCACGTCCTCAGCCTCCCGCACCACAACCTGGACCTCCTCCCCCCGCCCCCGAGCCAGACTACGGCAGGCCGGAACCGCCACAGCCACAACCCGCACCTCCCGCCGGGGGAGACTACGACCAGGACGACTACGATGCGCCACCCGCTCGTGGATATGGAGGTGGCGGAAGGCGGCGTGGAAGGCTGGCGTCAGCGAGCAACTGGCAAGCTGTGTACTACTATGACCAGGATCAGGAACAGGAGCAGGCGTACGCCCCTGAACAGCAACAACAAGTGGAACCGGAACAACACAAGTAGGACGACAATGGCTAGCAATGATGGGACTGTTCAATACTGTGGATGAGGGACCTTAGCTGACATCATTCGTTACTCAGTTGCAAAGTCGTGTTTGTTGTTTTCAACATCCGGCAATGGCCTTTTTTTTGTGTGTGTGTGTGTGTGTTCACCGGTTAAGCTGTCGGCTTGGTGCAGGTGGGCGTTGAGTGATGCTGCCATTTTCTGCGTGTCATCGAATGTTGCTGTAGCCGATTCGTTCATGGTGTCTTTTGAGTGGTGACTGTGCGCGAAACTTGGGGCATGTTAACAATTGCAGTGCAGCACGCGGCTGGAAGCTCTGTTCCTTGACGAGCTCAGCAAGAGCCGTAGTTTTACGATGAACTGAATTTGCATCCGCCGATGTAGCCTGCATTGTTCGTGGGAAACTCTTGTCTGTACTGTCTGAGCTTCGTGGGTCATAGTTTAACTGGTGAGGTTACGATAACAGATAGACAAACTGGGCAAAAAAAAAAGAAAAAGGTGACTTCAAACATTCCTCAGTTTTGTTGCTGCCGGAGAACTACACTTTGTTTCAGGCTGAGAGTGTGATATCTTGGCTTTGAAATGTGTCTCGGCTTCGCAAGCGAGACACATTGTTAAGCTTCGATCATACATTCCTTGCTTCGGTTACTACTGCCTGCGGATGAAGCGTAGTATAGCTGTGGTTTGTTGTGTTGATGCCTCGAGTTTGTCAGGATGTACCGTATTTCCCAGTTCGGCTGACCTTGCCTTTTTTTGTCTCATACGATTCATTTCGGAACTGTGGTTCGAACCCGCATCTTCCAGGTTGTTGTCTGTGAAGGAATGTTTACACGTGGTGCCATTAGCTGGTGCTGGTTACGGCTGATGTATTTATGTACCAGTAAGTGATTTCCTGTGGAACGTGCCTATGAAACAGAGATGAGGTTATCAGAAGGCCTGGCCTGCATTGCATGATATGACCTGCCCACACATTTTAGAGCCATTGTACAGTGAGTTCTGTCTTCTATAGTCGGTGACGGGTCAAGAGCGAAGTGGAAGCTCCTCCCACCTCTTTCCACTTGGTTCTTGACCTGTAACTGATTATAGACCACGTCAATCCTTCCTAGTGTGAATGTGACCTTTCGCCTTTGTGTTAGCTGGAATCTCGCCTGAATGTCTAATACCCTGTGTGCAGTACGCCATATGAAAGCCAGGTTAGTACGAATGATCTAGCTTAGCTTCTGGACCTAACAGGAGAATATTATTTTAATCAAGATGATGATAATTGATCCGAGAAGGGTTATGCTCGTTTTCTCGTGCTACTTCCAAGTGAACATCGGCCCTCTACGTTGTTATCGTTGTCATTGCTTTAGTCTTCACCTGGAGTATCAACGGGAGTTTTTAAAGTGCACCCGATCATGTAACGGATCATCCCAACTACTGCTAATAACATTGTCGTTAAGTTTGTTCTCGGTGTTTTGTTGCGTGTTGACCCGAGGGACGTGGAAGGAACACCGATGTTTATTGAATTTCGACAAATGTGATCACCACCTGCAATAAAACAATATTGTCTTTCGAAATTCTCGTATTCGTGAAAATACTTGCTGGGTCCACTATTGTTTGTGTCAACATCTGATCTACAGAATAGGGCCAAACAACAGGTCAATCCAGTTGTGTCAAAACTCAAAGGTAAAAGGAGTATGGGAATATGACTCTCACCCACTGCCCCCTTCCCCCTCTCTCTCCAGCTACCTCTTGTCACCCCCTTCTCTCCCAAACACTTCCGACGCCATTGCTATAAGAACACATACTATTACTCGGGTACACAGCACACCCTTGGGACGTTTTCCCGAAGCGCGTTGTCGGAAACAACGCTCTCGCACTCGGTGTTTCCAGGGGCAATTCGTTGAGCATCAAACCATGAATTCGGAAAATGGTCCAAGCAAAGGCTACACATGTGTAGCCTTTGCTTGTAGATCGAACCGGTTTGGATCTCATGATCGACTAAGTTGCAGGTTTGTAAGCCGAAGTGGGCGTGTCATCAACGGCCCCAAAGAACTAGCTCCCACCAACTTTTATTCGGTAGCAAAACGGCTATCAGCGGTAGACTTTTAACATAGTTCACCAAGAATGTTTTCAGGCGTTCCTTGCAATTGCTTTGTATATGTTTGAACTATCCTCCCAGGTGAACATTGTTTATTCTCTCCTGCGGTTAGGATCGAGCAATCCGCGGTAAGTGCCAGATCAATACAACAAATTAATCGATATGGTATTGGACAACAATATAGTGCGACTGAGATTTCTTGTTCACGATAAACTCGGTTTTATGAGGTGTATAGGTAATAATAGGTTCGATCCTTTACACAGCTGACGATATTTGCATTGAGGGGGTGGCATTCATGCAACTACCAAATGTCAAATCTTGCCCAAGGTGTGAAATTAATTTGGCAACCCTGGCTTCGGGGTTTGTTTCCGCATTTTAATTCGGCCAGAACCCCCTGCCTCGAACATTATTCAGGTCAACCTAGCCCAAGACGAACTACAATCCGTACACACCGTGTTATTTCATATATTTTTTATTTATATTACAAAACATAGCTACCATGCCACGTCTCCCCGATTTCGAGATCGCGGCAAGGATCAAACCACAACAGCCTGTACGTCTGGACACCAACCGAAAACAACGCTTCCTCTTCCTCCCTCTTCAGAAGTATCCAGCGCAGACCACGTATACAAGAAGGAAGCACACACGACAGCAAGGAACACGTCCAGAAGCACTTGCCCTGTTCTACTTCTGAGACCTCTCGGGCAAGCTTGATTAACCTCCGAGGGGTCGCGACGAATAATTACACTTTTTGTCTCGGTGGCGGCTCCCCAGCGTGCTTTGTCATCTCTGTCCCCAAGCGCGAAACAAAGGAAAGCAACGATGACAACCGCTTCCCCTCCCCACGCCGTACGGGCTCCGTGAGAGGGACATTAATTACCGCGACTTAGCGAACGCCTAAAAAGGGAGGGGAGGGGGGGGGGGGGGGGGGGGGGGGGGCTTTGTGCCATCTGCCACCGTACTTATAAAAGCGCCAGTAGGCTGGCCCTGTATACTCAGCGCGGCGGTGGAGATGAAAGTGAGAGTTGCTATTTTCTACCGCGCTATTAGAGAAGATCCAAGAGGGGTCTTTTACGGGAAGGGGGGGGGGGGGGGGGGGGGGGGGGGCGGGGGTATTCCGATACGCGGCTAGACGAACGCGTCTTATTGTCCTGGTGGCCCGCTGAATGCGGAACTATAAAGCATACTCGTAGATGCGTGAACGCTCGAACATAGAGTTACGTCGATGTCAACCGTTCAGCCGGTCTGGAGGAAACAGGGGTTAGGAATGACGGTGAGGGTACCACTTGGTGGGGGGGAGGACGTCGCGCGCGCCGCCTTCCTCGTTTCTTCCGGGAGCACCTGAATTCATCTTCTTCGAGCGGGGCGCGCGTGTGTTCGCTTCGACGAACGGTTTTACACGTGTACGCACGCTTCTGTGTCCTCGTTTGCCGTTCCAGCAGTCAAATGCCAAGTCCGCATTTGGCTTACCGTGGGGGTGACGCAGACAGCCCTGAACCCATGATCGATAAAGATGGTGATTTCAATAGCCATTCTGGTGGAAGTTCCTCCCGCCACAATGACAGTATACAGCGTTCGTCATTCCTAATAACCTAAGCACGCTAGATAGATCATCATAAAAGAAAAAAGAAAAGTCGAATATACGGTTATAAATGGCAGTCTTGATGCGTTCTTTCTTATCTTTTTTATTTTTATTTTTCGTACTTACAGGTACGACCGGTGAAGGGCAGGCATACTCGTGCGCAGTCTCTAACGGCCACGAGATCCCTCGCTGGCCGTTCTGCAGATGCACATTGACCTCAATGAAACGCGACGACGAAGTGACATCATAGTGCAACGCGCTGTGGATGTCGTCACAGCGATCATCGCTGAAACACAGACACTTTTTCTTCCCCTGGGCTCTGGACGTGCCTTGAGTTAGATTCGCGCTTGCGTGAGCGTCCATTTCACCGTTGAATGAATCAGTGACTCGTTCATGTGCTACGTTAACTTGGTCAGGGAAGTAATCGAGTTTCAGGGACTATTAGAGTACGGGGCTGGTATAGCCAGGGGCGGATGCAGGAATTTCCTAAAAGGGGGGGGGGGGGGGGGGGGGGGGCGTCAGCTGTTGGTCAGCGTACCATATGTTTGGGAACCCCCTCCCCCTCTCCTTCGTTTCACGCCCTCAATTTTACACATGCAGAAATCAAGAAGGGGTCAGGACATCCGGACCCCCCCCCCCCCCTCTAAATCCGCCCCTGGGTATAGCTACGCTATTACATAGCTTTAAAGCATAAAATGCTTTTCAACGAAACTACCGAATCCCAAATACTTGTCCGTCCGTCCTTCTGAGCATTTTTCCGTTAAATTTAACGGAGAAATAATAATAATAATGAGAACTAGGCACTGCTTTAGTTTCCCTGCTTAATTTATGGGGGAAAGTGATAAAAATATAGGTTCTTGTTCACTGTTCAATCATGCATTGTACTTACAAGAAGCTGAGATAAAGGTCGCAGCCATTTCTTATGCTTATTTTGCAATTTTTTGAAGAGACTCGTCTCGTTGCCCGGTGTCCATAGATTAACCCAGTAATTATGTCTCCTTAATATAAATTGAATCAGATTTGTGTATCTACCGGAACGAACTCTTTTGGCTGCAAACATTACCCTCTCCAGGCCAAGATAGGTGCAAAAATAGATGAGGCTACCTCTTCAGGTCTACTTATAACATAATGCATTCCAGTATTTACGTTATGTCGACTGATTTCGACAAGTAAGGGGTATTAGAAAAAGCTTAACACAGTTTCATATATCTCATAACATACAAAAGTAAGAAGATGAGACATGAGAATGCATGCACAAATCATCAAAACATATCTATTTCCTGTTACGAGCAGGAAGGTCCACATATGCCTCTACTTGCCCCTTTGTGCTTCTTTTTTAGTAAATACCTCTCGTGTGTCGTCCTATACTGAGCACACTGTAATTACGAAAGAAAACTAAAAAACTGCGTCAGTCTGTGTCGAGAAAAAGAAAAGCTATTGTGTGGTCCGGTACCTCAATTAAAGGATAGGTAGTACGTCTAACTAGCAGAGCCGTGTGCTCACCAATTCACAAGTTGCATTTTGTGCTCTTGGACATACACCAGCTTGTTTTTAGAGAGAAATGTTTGGTTTTCCGGGGAAATTAATAGAAAAGTTTTTATGAATCGTTCCGATACCTCCGAGAACGATACCCGACAACGAGCATGAGCAAACGTGGCGCGCGGAGTATCGTTATCGGACGTAACGGAACGATCTACTAAAACTCTCTTTAATGTGAACAAAATAACCTTGGTAACGCTTCGCCTGTGATTTTACATCCGTCCGTGACGTTGCATTTCTTTGCAGACCCCCCTCCTAACCCCCCCCCCCCCCCCCCCCCTAAGCCTGACCTACAAACTCGCACGTCTTGGGCGGACAAGATGCGAAAAGACGTAGCCGTCAGAAACATACAGTCGCGCAAGGGAGCCACACGCTCGCGTCCGTGCCTCCCACAGGTGTCGCAGATGTGCAGCGTTGTGTAGTGTAAAACATCGTATCATACACCTCCGGAGCATTTAACCTCACCCTCGGAACCTGATCGCCGTCTTCTGCCCATACCAGCTAAGATACAAGGTCTGCGCATGACGTCATCGGTCGTGGATTCCCGACCACAAAGCCCCCACCCGCCAAGCGGCGGACGGGTCCATATCGTTGTGAGGTGTTGTGAGACGCGCAATATAGATGCTGGCGCAACCTATATTTTTTTTTAAAAATAAGAAAA